CGCACGACTACAGTGCACTAACTGGTTGGTCATTGGTCGTTGTAAATGGCAACTGCCACAGAGGCTCAAAGTACCTGCAGTACGCAAAGAAATGCTTCGAATTTAAGACAATGCTCAAGGTAGCGAGGTGAGCATCATCTCCCTTCTTTTTGAAGACTTGCGACCAAATTTCTTGAAAGAGCATTTATGCTATCTGCGTACTTTTTGTCTTTCGTGAAGTGCAACGCGACAGTGAAGGATGCCCTTGCTACATCCGATTGATGTTATCAATAAGCTCCTAAGTTGATGGTCGATCTTGTCGGGATAACCACAGCTCCAGTGGGAGTGCTCAGCATGGCCGAAACGTCGTTGTATATTCTTGTCGTGTAAAAAAAAAAGCACTTGGGGTAAGTATCTTGGAAGCGGCCGTCATGAAAGCTTTTCGCGATAAGGGTATAGTATTAGTGCAGCCTAGGTCAGAAAATTCATCCTAAATTTTACAACAAGTGATTTGAAAAGGCTATAGCTACACGCACCTGTTTAATTTTCTCTTTTAATTGTATGAAAGCTTTATCTCCACGAGATGTATTCGTGAGTGTCGGCAGGATTTTGTCTTGGCGGGTGCAAACTCATGCTTCATCGCGGCGTGAAGCGATGGTACCGCTGGTGTAGCTTGGGTAAATGGTCCAGTCCTGCTGGGGCTTGAGGACGCCAAGTTCCCCCTTTGCACCCCTCCCCCCCATGCTGATTCTTATGGAGGTATTCATAAAAAATGAGACCGATGCTTTAAAACGGGTTGCTTTATGATCGTGCGCTCATTTATTAATGTACTATAACGTCATGGGGCATGTATTAATGCAATGAGTGTGTTTGTCAATTGATTATTGGAGGCTTTGGTTACGAATATAACTTTCTGTCTACTCCTCGCTCGACCTCGAACGTCAGTTGATGGCAAAAAATATCAAAAAGTATGTCATCAGAGTACATTACAATTCAGTAAACTAGTATTAAAAGCAATGGTTTGTTTATGCAGATGGTCATCACTTTTTCAAGCCTGACGAAATTTCATACAGAGCACCATGGTGCCTTTTCAAATGGCCACCAAACAAACCTCCTCAATCTGTGGAACGAACATTGGTTAGATAATGTAGCTTCCACAGCCTGAAAGGCTAATTAATCAATCAATCAATCAATCAATCAATCAATCAATCAATCAATAAAATATAAAAAATAGTAAATAAATTATTTATTCCATTAATAAATAAAATGAGTCAGTCATTCAATCAATGATTTATTTCGTTTTGTTATAGGTCTTTTTTTATGTTTTCGACGGCTTCAACGAAGACTCATCGAAGTCTTCGTCATTCTTTCCCTTCCTCATCTTCTTTCCTCTTCTTTCCCTCTAATCTTTGTTTCCTCTGTTTCTTCCATCCTCCCGAAAGAGTGAGCAGGCATTGTGCCCCTCCCGGTGGCAGTTGCCAGCTTGCTCTCTCCCTCTTTCGTCTGTGGCCTTGCGTATCTGTGTACGCAAATCAAATAATAATAAATAATAATAATGGCATAAACAATTTGTAGGGCTTAAAAATGTACAGCCGAGAGCGTCTGAAAGTACAAGATTGGCCTTCTATAGTTCTTGTTTTCAAAGCTCACAAGTATTTTTTTGGGAGGGGAGGGGGGGGAGGGTGGGGGACTTACGCCATATAATTCCTAAAGTCGACGTGATACGTGTATTAGGCTTGTGTACATCGCAGCCGATGGGCACAACGGCGAAACTGTTCACAGCTTGGAAAACGTGGTGTATCTTACAATCCGGCTTCTAAACGAATAACACACACACACACACACACACACACACACACACACACACATATATATATATATATATATATATATATATATATATATATATATATATATATATATATATATATATATATATATATATATATATATATATATATATATATATTTTGAATGAACTTGCAGATAGCACATTTGAAAAGGATATCGTATTTACTAACGTTTCGGCCGTGGCACTGCCTTCGTCAGAGTAAGTCGGTATGATACAATGCAGCCGCTTTTATAGGCTCACGTGATGAACTCTCGGTATAGCAGCTAGGACAATCAAAGTAATATATATATATATATATATATATATATATATATATATATATATATATATATATATATATATATATATATATATATATATATATATATATATATATATATATATATATATATATATAGTCGCGTAAAAGAAGGCAACACTATTAGACTAGTGCAAGCTTTCGTCCTCAGTAGAATCATTTACGTTGCCTCTTACTTGAAAAAAAAATGAAAATACGCTACCACACGGAGCAAGGTGAAAAAGCTGACGCACCCGCGACGGCGAGAGCAAGAATATTGATTCCACCGTCGCCCAAAAATATGCTCCCGGAACATCACACCTGCCGAAGAAATCAGAGAGCGCAGGGCGTGCAGAGGCAATTCGGACACTGCAAAGACGCGGTATTCGTGGACAGACAGGCGCGCAAGTGTGGTTACATGGCCGCGGTGGTCGACTGTAAAGGGACATGCAAGACGAGCATTCCGGTGCAAACGCCACTCATCGAGACCGCTGAGGAGGTGGCCATCGCCCTAGCGGTGGCGACCACTGAAGCCGAAGTAGTAATCACTGACTTGCAAGCGGCGATACGTAACTATGATAACGGCCTTGTCTCCCGAGAGGCGCTACGAATCCCAATGAATAAAGAAGAGAAAGTTGTAATGAAAAAGGACACTTTTGTCATATGGACCCCCGCACACACACAAACACCGCTGGCCGGCAACGAGGCGGTGAACGTGGAGGCTCGAGCACTCAGTCACCGAGCCGTAGCGAACACCAACGCCGCCTCGGCCGAAGTTCTACGCGGGGGAGATTGGGAATGGGAGGACCGCACCACGAAATAACAAAGCACTACAAGCTAAAAAGGCGCAAGTATCCTCTGCCATACAACAGGTTAAATAGAAAAACAGGCAGTTGCTTGGCGAAAACTACAAACATATACGTATCCCAATTCAGTTATTTTTTGTCTCTGTTACCCTGGTCTGTATTTCACAGAAAAATGCAAGGCTTGGGATGACAGGGCAACACTTGTCCACATATACTGTGGGAATGCTCGAGTTTAGATGACATAGCTGACAAAAACCACGAAGAGATAGTCTCAAACCGCAGGGTGCGCTGGGAGGAGGCTGTGCTCAGCTCCTTATTAGAACATCTGTGGGCCGTCCAGCGAGCCGAGGAAGCTGCCCGAGCCCAAGGGCTCGTGGCCAATGCCTAGCAGGGCAAATCAACTTCGCTGGACTTTATTAATAAAGTTCTTTGTCTTATTTTTACATCATATAGACGAACAGTATATGTTCGCTATGCGGGCACATTAAGGAGGAACCTTGCACGTCTAGAACGACAGTCACATTACCAAAGTGTATATGCGAAAACCAGACACGGACTCATTTACGCTATAGACTTCTCATTCACTTCAAAAAGTCGTGGACACAGCTACATAGCGAGAACGCCAAAGATGTTCTACATCACCCTGTGCCACTTGATTCCCTGACGCCAAACAGGCACAGGACAGCGTGACACATCAAGCCATCGTTATTCATGATGAGGTGGGCGTGAGCAGTCAGGCGTTTCGCTGGTTAGAGGGCTACATCAGCGTCCTTATCTCCTTGCATAACACGTTCCGCGAGGTAGTTTCCCAGAACCTCAAGCTTGTTGGTTACCTTGATTACATCCCATACATATAGAGTTACGACTAAAAAAAAAACTGATCGTGCCATTGGAGCATCATGCGCCCAAGGCAAGTCACTGAAATCTTAAATGTTATCTCTCAACGTAAAAAACATTGGCATTCTGCCAGACTGTACATGGATACGAAAATTATAGTACATCAACACTATCATCGTCTCCAAAGTTCTATAGACGTGCATTGGCCTGTACATTCATGTTACTGCGGATCCGATTTTATATGTTAAGTACTTTTAGGCGAACAAAGGCACTTTGTGCGTGCTCATTTATCTATCTAGACGTAATACACGTCATGAGCGCTATGGTACACATCGAACGTTGCTGATGCTCCCACAGCCGTTTAATTAACTTTATAGGTATCAAAATTGGCATGACATGATTCGTGTGGGAAGAACAATAATTGCAGGTCACAAAGTGGGTGTCATGTTATACATGCCATGACATGCATGGCAAGATCTTGGTGTTATCATAGTCGCTCCATTTGTTTGGCATGCACCAAACTTGGCATGGTGTGACATTAGTGTATGAACAACATGTATTATAGGACATAACATAAACAGCATGACATGCATGCCTAGTACGTCATGGCACACAGAACAAGGCAGCATCGCGATGTCATGGTGGTTATTTCATTGCCTTGCTATACTATATGGGTATCATATGGCGTGTGTGTATTGCGAATGATAATCATGAACGACAGGTGACGACATGAATGTTCCTGCGACGCATGTCATTTGAGTCATAGTATGAATCACACGCGTAACATGATGCAAGCGTTGTGACACCATCCAGGTCGTTCCATTATTATGGTTCATTACTGAATGCACATGCATGGATGACAAACATGAGACAGTAGATAAGATGCCGTTTCACGAATGATATGACTTGTTTTAATGGCAAATAATGCGGGATATGCCGCCCTCGTTGACAGTTTTGCATAACAAGTACTGCTGCAGTGCGTGAGATCTGCTGCTTTTTTGAAGAGGCCAGTAAGAGTAGTGGTGAAGAGGGGGGTAGAGGAGAACGTGCGCTTATATTCTGCTTCACTATAATTTTCTTTTTGTATTTCTTTACGGCCCATAACCAGTCCACCGATTGATCTCTCTACTATTCTTATCATTTCCTTTTTGCTTTCCCTTCATTTCGTTCTACGTTCCTAACGTATACCTACAGGAATTGAGTGTGTCTAAACTAACTCAAATGACATGTCTTTTTGCTGTTTTTGCAGGAAGAACTCTACACCTGGCTATGGAAGACGGTGTCAAGAAGAAGATCATGCATAATAGTTAGCCTACTGTACCAGTTTCCACTTAACTTCGTTCATGGAAATGTGCAGAATAAACATTCAGAGGCCTCACATTATCGCCACCAGTGCAAGGAATACAAATTCCTCGGCTTCCGATTCTTGTATTCTCGTGCTTTTTTATTTATTCTCTTTCCCTGGAAAGGTAAATGTAGACAGGGTAAAATAATAAACATTGTGAGGATGAACTGTTTCACGTATCGCATTACCAAGGTACACGTACTATATTGTTGACTGTTCTTACTGTATGGCGTCACACGCGTTTAGGTTGTACAATACGTAACTGCGTGATGTACTTTTTTTTCAATTAATTCGTCACCGACTATGTTGAGTTTTGTAGCAGGTATTTTTATTAGGAGATTCTTACGCAATGCTGCCCAATTCGTATCGTCTTGGAATTCGGTAGCGTATGATTTTCTTCGGCCAGACTTCGCTTGGAGGAATGGAGCGCAGTAATACCTCGTTGAAAGTTAGCCAACACGTTGTCGCTACCAAATGTGCGGTGCTGCCCTGGGCTGCCGCAGCAAGCGACCGAGGCGCCAGTAAAAGGCGGTGGTACGCCCGGGGCGCCTTGGTCGGCCCATCGGCTGAGTGCAGGGCGGGTCCTCGCGCCGCTTGTTGGAAGGCTCCAATTAAGAAGGCGGTCATATGCAAATGCGACAAGCGACGGCAGCCAGAAAAGAAGAGGAAAGATCGATCGCCATTAGGGAAACAGAGCGCCTCGGGCGCGGGCGACCATGGGGTCGATTTTGCTCCGCGCAGCTCTGTCCCCCCTAACTCCGTCGCCTGTCCAGTCACCCCCCCCCCCCCCTTCAACCCCTTCGTCGCACGTCGCTCCTCCTCGCCGCGTAATTCCACACTGGTGCCACTAATGAATTCGGTTCTCCTATTCGTCCATCGACGCCTAAGGAAAGAGTTGGAGGGGGATTGCAAGTGACGTGCCAACCCTTCCGATTGGCCAGCCCGTCATCACAAGTTAATCGAATGGAGCACAGTTCGTTAGTGTGTCGCTGGGATCTCCCCCTGAGGGAAGGAGAAGTTAAAAGCCAGGCAGCACAGAGCGAGCGAAGCTGCCTTCCTTTCCTCCCAACGCGACCGCTGGCCGAAGAAGCGTGGCCGAATGGCTGCCGCCGGCCTGACAACAGGGGCCACGATTGGAAAACTGCGCTGGAAGATGCGGCCGGACCACAGTCCCGACCACCCCGCGTTTGCCCCCAACTGGATCGTGCAAGGGGTGGCCAACCCTTCTGGCGAGAAGAGAGCCGCCGGCGAGGCGGTAAAGGTCAATACTGGCGCAAGCCTGATTGGCTGCCGCGAATCCTCACATCATGTCCCACGCCAGACCCGTGAATTCGGCCTGCCCCATCGGTCTGTGTTGTCTGTCTTTTCTGACAGAATAGTAGGAAGAGCAATGAAAAAGCGCGTGATTTTGGGCATATACAGTGACAACCACAGCTCCGACTTTTTGGTATTGTTACGGCCGAGAATAAAAACTTTAGCTAAGCCGCAGCACATTCTACAAAAAATGTCTGGAATAAGCAACGCGTAAACACATTCAGGTAAGCTGACAAGTAAACCGAAAGCAAACCCTTCGAGCAACTGCAACACCTCGATCGAATATTAGGCGTCTAATATTTTCTTGCTTTTTTTTCCTCGTGGCTCAATGGCCAGCTCAAGGCAGACATCACTTAGTGGGGGCATAAATGCCTGCAATACTTGCCTTATGCCCCTGTATGTTATCCCCAGTAATGTGACTGCCCACTGAACTTAGCAAGTGATACGTATGCATGCTTCCATTAACTCTGCAACAAAAGCAGCGTGCAATCAAGAACGGGCTGTGCAGAAGTGTCTGACGTAGACTCGTAAGCTGGTATGTGTAGAAACTTTATCGATATGGCCACTTCTAGTTCCTAATTCTGACAATAGGGTGTTCAAGAAGGCGTTGGAGCAGCTCAAAAAGACGTGTGGTAAAGCAATATAATGAATATTACCATCCGTTCTGCCCACAAGATAAATTTTATTTCTTGTAATCTTGTATGGGAGGGGGGGGGGGGGCGAGGGCATATAGCTTTCTAAAATTAACTGGAGGTACCTCTGGCGCTGCGATCGTTCGGCGACCATATAGGAACGATGGGTAGTGCTTGGATTTGGCTATATATTCTTTGTACTTGCGTGCGGCGCATCGCTTTTGTGGTTTCGTTTATTGCTAGTATCGGTTTGGGTTGACAAAGCAGCTTGAAGCCACGCGAAACCAAAGAAACGTAAAGTACGAAGAATAGGCAAATCCGTGCACTACCATTAATTGCCATGCTTGAAGTACCATACGCTGCAAATCCCGTGGACATTAGTGCCAGAGTTCCCTCTAGTGTATATTTAGGAAACTCTATATGGGGGAGGGGACATACGCGAAAGTTCCATGCCGCATTCTGGGTGATGGCCCCTGCAAATCACGCACGCGCGAAGTATTCATAAATGCCAAGAAAAAACACAAAAACTGAATAGGTTACAGTGACACCAGTGTTATGAACTATATATCGGTAAAATGTGCTCGCAGGGTATTTATAATACGAAGGAATTCCTGCTCATGCTCGTATACTAACATGAACATCAAGCGCACACAAGTTAATCTTGACATGTCTAATGTCCACATCGTAAAATTCTCAGTTATCTATACTCAGGGTTAAGCCTATTGTACAGTGGGATAATCACACGAGGTTTTCCTTCGCATAATTGGACAACCAAAGCAAGTATTGGCATAGGTCGGCAAAAAGCTGAACCTTACTCAGACTCCCTAAAAGATACATTTCGCTCCGAGTGCTTATCCGGGTCCACTCAACGCTTTTCTCAAGCAGACTCACTCGTACCGGCCCATACTCGCTAATGGATTCACTCAGTCCTCAAATGGACTCACTCGTAGTTAAACTCGTCAAAATACTACTCACCCGGACCTAACTCACACACGTGGTCTCCTTTCTGAATCTGGTGAGTCTGCGTGAGTCGACTTGTGAGTTAGTTTGCCGACATATGCATACCCATATTCACTAACTTCAATATCGTCTGTACGGCATGCGTAGTCATCTGAGCTTGCGCTGATACTGAGTTCTCAAACTTGATACTTTTCCAGTTTTCCTATTGGAAAATTGCAATATGAGTTATGTTCGAATACTTAAAAAAGATGTCATTCGCTACCAGTGCTTCTTGTATGGCTAACTGAGGGAGGGACTAAACGCCAGAGAAAACGTTTTGTACCAGTCGAGGACTTAAAGGTAAAGATTAAGACATATATCTGACTGGCTCGGTTATAGAATTCTAGAAGATGAAATGGCTCAGATGCACTTGCACAGCCTGCGATGTGATGGAAAGGTAATAGGGTCAAGGTGAAAAAGTGAAAAACGACACCTCGTCCACAGCTTATACAGTAAAACTTTGAGGAACTAAGGAACCAAACTTGCTCCGGAACGTCGGGTTCACTACAAAAACTTTGGCAGGAGCCATGTCAGCTTGTACATCTTATGACTATTTCAAATTTGACGTCAGGAGAGCCGGCTCATTACTTACTGTTTTGTCAGGAATCATTTGAAGATAGAAAATATCCTCATCCGCACTTTTTTAAGAACTGAAACCTGCTCTATTCATGAATATTTTTTTCTAATAAACTCCGCCTCGTTAAACTTGTCTCGTGAAACATTATGCGTTGCGAAGAACCAGTTGAGTAGCCTGAAATGTTGGTACACGAGAATAAAATACTGGTAGAAAAATGCGTGCCATGCGCCCAACTTCATTCAATTAATAAACCACGGCATGAAGGGGCTCGTGAAACTGCGCGCCGTGGCGCAATCTGCACTGCATCCTTTAGAAGACAGAGTACAGAGGAGGTGCGCTGCACGGAAAGAGCAGGCAGAGAGCACGGACCAAAGATCGCTCTCTTCTATGTTGCTCCCCTCCCGGCTTGAGAAGCAGAACTGGGCAAGCACGCGTCGACAAGAGAGCAAAAGACAACGACGGTGCAATAGCGAGCCTCCGCCAATAATTACCGAGTGTTTGCTTGTTTTTCTCGTTGACTACAGATGTGGCCTCCCCGTGGCCCCGCCTGTAGGCCATCCGAGTCTCCCCTCCGGCCCGAATCAATCAGGCAATCAATCTTTCGCCAATCGATATTGTACACAGATGCAAGCAACAACGCTGCTCTGGCGAGACTTAAATCCCCCAAAAAGCGTCCTGGTCCTCCCTTTTTGACGCGCTCCGTGCCGCCCCCCTTCAGTCGGCGCACGCCGGTGCTCCCAACGGGCCACGCGCACGCTCGCGAGGCGCTTCTTACTTGGCAGGGCTCCTTCAAAAGCACCCGAAAATCTCTCCCTGCTTGGTTCGCGCGCACTACCCCGCTCCTTTAAAGCATCTCCGCCGCTTTGCTTTTTGAGTGCGGGAAAAGAAAACAAAGGATTTGGCGATATTGAGCCGCTGCCTTCGATGTACCCGGGTAATGGCTCGCAATATCGGCAGTAAAGCACGTCAGCCCTCAGCGTGCACTTGACGCCGCGACTGATTACATCTGTCCAACAGGCGCCGTTTTTGTTTTCTTTCACGCGTTACACAAGTTTTATATCCGCGCGCAATTTTTTGTCACATCGTGGTGATATAAAAATAGACAGGTCAAGTATGTGAGAACAAGTTGACATGCATCGCTTTCACATACGCCAACAGTCTGTAGACAAGAAAAGACATCCTTGATATAATGCGACTGCAAGATTGTATTTACGGTACCTTTGTTTCGAATCGAAAAAATCCAAAATGCCACATGAAGGCCTCTTCTCATAAATAAGTGTATGCTCTGTTTTTTTTTTAAATAAACCGTCAGTCATGAATGCGATGGCTACAGAAGCTCTTTAAGGTAGACTTTTTGGTGAAAATATAAATTTCTTGAAGAGTAGTTTTTAGGGGCAGCGCTCGAGAATGAACGTTAAAAATAGGTCAACTATTGAATATTTTCTTACTAAGTAACATTAAACTAATTAACTCATTACACCTGTTGTAATTGACATAATCAGCTAGAAAATTAGCTCGGAGTCGAAATAATTTTTGTAGCGTGAGGTGAAATACGGAAACAGGAAGGGATAGACTGAGAGAACAGGGCATGTTTTAGAAGTCTTTAAGACAACAAAAATATCAAGAACGTCGCGTCACTCCAAAT